AATCAACCAACCAATCAATCTGTCATTGGTTAAGTCAATTAGCAAATCAATGAATCAACCAATCAATCAACCAATCAATCAATCAATAAACTAATAGATCAATCAGTCAATCAATCAATCACTCAACTTATCAATCAATCAACCAACCAATTAATCTGTCAATGGTTCAGCCAATTAGCCAATCAATCAATCAACTAATCAATCAATCAGTCAGTCACTGAAACGATCAATTGACTACATAGTCAGTCAGTGTATCAGCGAGTTGTTCAATAACTGATTTCATCAGTTGCTATAATTATAATTAACTTACGTTGCTTTTCCTTCTCTAATCAAAACACAAGACAGCTGTAGATCAAGACTTGCATACACAAGTTTCTTGGAGGAGAGTTTTAGCTTTAATGATACATCCTTTGTAGTGAACTCCATACTAGCATAGTCAACCATGTTGATTGTGCCATGAGCTATTGGTTTCCTGCGTCCAGTTGTTGACTCCTGGTGAATGTAGAATTCATTATTTCAGAAAACATTGAATACTGAATACTGCATATTGCATTGGAGGACTGCAGAACTTAGTAGCAGACTTAATAGCAGAACTTAATAGCAGACAATTTTTGCCTCAGTAGTCACACACTTGTAAACGAATCAAGACATGGTGCCGTGCATAAAGCTTAGTCATTAGTGAAAAGACAAAAGTTTTTCATGACTGACTGAGCTTTGAGCACGGCATCTTGTATGATTCTTTTGTGTTTGACTACAGACGAGGTGAAATTTGGCTATTGCTTTCGATTGAAGTTCTTGATTGAATGGAGCTGGAATAGTCACTCTGACACCATGAAAACTTGTGACTTTCAAAAAATCGTGAAAGAAGTTATTACAGTAAAATTGTAGTTGTTGTCAACTGTCCATCACTGCATTACTACTGGGGCTTCAATATTGCAGTTTATTGATAGTCAGTCCATATTTTTCATTTCAGAGCTCTGTAGATATAATGATTTATAAATATTCTTACATCTTCAACAGTAAATGTCCATTCTTTGTCTTCATAAGGGCTTCCTGGTCTTGAATCCTAAGAAAATATCAAAGATTTAAGAACATTTTGTAATAACAAGACAGAGAGAACAACGAAAAAGAAAATCAATACTCCAGTTTCGAATTCATAGGGAATAACCGCTGCTTTATTTGACAACAGATTCTCTTGCGCAAAGACYTTACAAACACAAAAGAGMKCACGAGAAAATGTCGTTATTACAATAAACTTGAAAATTTGCATTTTCCCCGAGTTGAGATTATCCCTGTATTCCCATAAGACCCAAGGTATGAGCAGGGTTAGCCTCAACTTGGGGAAAATGTAGATTCTTAGCGCTATTGTATTAACAACATTTTCTCATGCTTTCTTTTGTGTTTGGTAAGTTCTTTGCGTAATAGAATCTGCCGTCAAGTAAAACAGCGGTTATTCGCTTTGAATTCGAAACTGGAGTATTACTTTTTGTGTAATGATCATTAATATTTGTATAATTATTGTTGTCATCATTATCAAAGGTATATATGTATATTGTTCACCTAGTGTTGTAATGTCATACCTTATAAAGTGTAACAGTTATGTCAATTTCTTCTGGTTCGGCCCARACAATAACACCTCTGAAAGGATTACTAATTCCAGGATTCCAGGTATGAAGCTGTCCATTACAAAAAAATATAATATCAAAGGAACTCATTATTGTAATTTTCAATAAAACAGTAACTGGGAGGGGAATAGTCTTCTTCAAGGTTTCCTGTCACTGTGCATCATAAAATGCGACTTTGCATTGAAGAGACCAAAAGTGAGTGTGCAATGACAGAAACATGCATTATACTGCATTCTTAACAGTTGTCTTGCATTCTACTTTGAAAAATAGAGTACATTGTAAAGAAAAGAGCAGAGAATTTTATTCCTTTTATGAAGTGGGAAAAGAGTGAATGTACCTTGGAACACTTCCGCCGCTTTCTCCTTGTCCAAACAACGCTGAGTTTGTTGGGCTGCCTGTGCAATAATTATAAGAGATAATTGTTTTCTGTGAAACATTTGTAATTTCAAGACAGTAATCTTACTTTGAACTCTTTTAAGTAATCATTTTGTTTTCATTTGTTCAACAAGAACTATTTTACACAGTTTAATAATATTGTGTAATGGTYGCAATATTGTTTACACTTTACAACCATAATTTTTCTTATAAATACAATACATAATATATCATTTTAAAATGAATAAAATCAGACTTCCTAGCCAACTCAGCTGGAACTCCAAATGAAAAATAATCAATTAATCTGCCAACACCATRAGTAAATTCAAAATGCATAAATTTTATGAAAACATGTTACTTTTTTTATAAAAATCCCCCCTTTTCATCAGCTGAAAAGACAACATTATTTCAATTTACAAGATCTTATCATAGTTTTAACTCTAAACTGTGTTCCATGAAAGATTATGTGATAACTAAAACCGAAMACTAATATATTATTCATTTTGCCACAAAAACGTAATTGGTCAATGCGACCCATATTTTTCACTAAAGTGTCATCAAACATTAATTTATTGTCTTGTAATCTAGATAATTGTGGGTTATGAGATGGACAAATTCTAAATAAAAACTAAAGCAAAAAAGTCTAATTTGCTAAAAACTAAAGCAAAGAACTCTAATTTGCTGCATTTGATAATACCACAAATTCAAAAAAAAATTAGTGACAATCTTTAATAACACCTTAATAATCGATTTTATAAATACAATTATATTCTAAGGTAAAATCTGCATCAGAGTAGCAGCCAAAATCCTGAACCCACAAATGAAACGTTTGAAATGTCAACAGTAATACTGTGTTGCAACATGCTGTAAAATAAGGTTGTACTGCGTAATTTTTAACACAACATCTTCTTGACAAAGCTACATGTCTACAAGGTTACAATATCCAATTTTGTTAATATTGATCAATTCTCTGTTATAGATTGTTTCATTGTATTTTAAAGTGAATACTTGCTTAAATACCTGTTTAAATAATAATAATTTAAAAAAATATGTTCAAATTTTTTTTTGTTTCAAGTATGCTTGCATACCTTTGCTGATAAAAAGTGAAAGCTTACATTGTATTTACATTTATTCAATATGAACAAGCAAGTTCATAATCATTTAGATGGGTTCTAAGTTAATACCATGTTAGATAACTAGGGAGACTCAAACCCACCCACCCACACACAGGGTATCATTATTCCCTTCAAATTGTTCCGAAAAATCTATTTTTCGACAAATTTTCATCACTTACAACATTTACAGTGCGTACAGTGTATTAAGAACTGAATAATTCATATACTATAGATATCAATATTTATCTTAGTTATATAGAATGGAAATGAAAAATAAAATTTAGCACAAATGGAAGGAAAGTGCAATATATGCAACGTATACCAAATGCAATGTATAATATTTCCTGGAATGTTTTATTTCTCTTTTAAAAATTCAATGAAATAACTTAACAATTAACTAGGTAGGCGTCAATAATCCTTAAAGCAAAATTATATAAACAAAACAAGCCTGTTTCAGTGAAAAACCGGTTTGATGAAGTGAAAGTMTTCACATTATCCCTTATTTACATTGCAGTTTTGTGTAATCTCACACCTCTTTCAAGAATAAAGGACTTCATTGTACGAGAAAATGAAATATAATTCCTTGTAAACGGCAACTTAAGAGATAAGAATTACACTCAAGTTATGTACAAATTATAACAACTATCACGTTCATTAATTTTTGTACTTAGACACGTTTTTCAGAAAACAAATTTGTATTGTTATTGTCGATAATTTTCTTACCACTTCCCATCTTTGGCGCATTCAACCGTCAATGACTCATAAGAAGCCGTGAACTGAAACTTGCTGGCGTTTTTGCCAACCCTCTGCAGTCTTTTCCAAACAGAACTCATGGTTTAGAGTAAACGAGCGGGGGAAAACAGTGAATTTTGACGAGGAATTTCCTCCGCATGATCGCCATGTTGTTGAACCCTTCCTTTACGAGCGCACAGGGTGACCAACCACGTGTTCGTCATGGAGTATCACTGTCGATATTTCCTCGTACGGTCATCGCTGGAAAACACTTTTTGATTGGGTTTCAKCAGCAAAACAAAAAGTGAAAACATAAATTTTCCATCTTCTAAAAATTCATTTTTTTTTACAAGACAAGATTTTTATTATTTTTTCTAGGGAGAAGACAAAGAGAGAAACTAATCTTTGTTATATAAATTCAAATAATACAATCTTTTAAGCTTCAGAACTCAAAACTTGARCACATTTGTTTAGTGGTATCACGCTCCCAAAAGGCTGAATTGTATATATTCTTCTCGGACAAACATTTTCGTCAATCCGTCGGATTTCGTCGGAATCTACTTTGTCCCCATGATGCATTTCGCGTACTGCCATCAAATACGGAATCACGAGATCCGCCATCTTTCCTAAAGTCTTCTTCCGGATTTCTAATATAATTTAATATTCCCTTACCAGGTGAGCCGTTCATTATCTTTATCGCATGTCTTTATAATCTATTAGCTATTTCTCTGCGGTCAAAGTGTGCACTTTGCTGTAAATTTGATTGTTGTTTTCCGATGTACGTCGCTGGGGGTGGGTGCAGACAGTCCAAAGGATCAGCTATCTTTACGAAAAATCACACGTGTAACCAGCCTTTTACTTTATTTTAATGACGCRTTGGTGCGTTTTCTTTATCATCTATCCCTCTTAATGAAAGCCTTATTTACAATTCTGATCGTACAGCCGACCATGAGAAATTAAAGTCAAGATCCAGTGCAACAGTTGCGATTTCGTGTGAACGTTTCGATTAACTWAAATTGTACAAAAATATTGTATGATTGTTCTTGTTGTGATTTTTATTATTTCAGGTCGCAAAGATGGCAGCGACAGGGCCGTACAATTATTCCTATATATTCAAGTATATTATTATAGGTAAGATTTTAAGCTTGATGTCAAATCTTATGGAATTCTGGATACCAACCTGTATGTCTTGATCTTATAATGTCTCTAACTTATACAAAGACGTTCTAACGATATTTGCTATGCTTATTAGCTGAATAGAACGTATATTTTATCATCGAAATGCAATGTATTTGTCCATCATTGTTATATTTTGAAAGACTGTAATATAAAATGTATAGTGTAGTACAATAATTTAATCATAATGACATGTCACATCAGTGTTAATTTAAATTCAATGACGCTCCAATTTATGCAATATAACATTGTATAAAAAAAGACATTCTTTTCTCTATTATTTCGTTTTATGAAATAGTTATTTAAACTTATTTGTCAGACAATTAAGTAAAATTTAGATGTCAATATTCACCTCTCTGGTGYTATTTATAATATTTGATATTTCATGAGAATAATATTATATTACTAGTATGTTTGGCTGTTATTTTTTTATAGGTGATATGGGTGTTGGTAAGTCATGTCTCCTTCACCAATTCACAGAAAAGAAATGTGAGTASAGTTTTTCAAGATGTTTTCTCTATATCCATTTAGAAAATAGACAAATATATCTGATGACCATTGAATGCGTACCTTCATTGTAGAGACCTAGGTTTCAATACATGTAATAAGCTATTTTATTGCTTTGTGGAACACATTTCCTTTATTAAAATGAATATTWTGCTGTGTTTATGCATGTAGTCATGGCAGACTGCCCTCACACAATTGGTGTAGAGTTTGGCACAAGAATAATAGAGGTAGCTGGACAAAAGATCAAGCTTCAGATATGGGATACGGCAGGACAAGAACGATTCAGGGCTGTAACTAGAAGCTACTACAGAGGGGCAGCCGGCGCTCTTATGGTATATGACATTACAAGGTTGGTGATGAATTAGAAAATCAATATGTGCAGCTCGCAGGTTTAAATGCTCGTATTTTATATTGCTTATTAAATTCCAACATAAGCTAAAAGCATATTTTGCTAAAACGTTAAGACAACATATAACTTTTAAGAGAAAATCATAGTTAAAGTCATATGCAAATCAGGACAAATTTCTTGCTCATATAAAGATGAAGTCGCTGCAACAATTGTCATTGTTTGACTTATATGAATTAAWTTAATGAATTTGATAATGCTTGAAGGAATTGTTTGCATGCTACTTATCTGTTCAATGTAACAGCTGAATGCTTGTCTTGCTGTCTCCAATTAAGCAGCCCAACATTTATCAGAAAATGTTCAAAGTGTTTTTATCCTCAAATCCCTAGATGGCCTTGGAATATTGAGTAATAATGGTCAATATGTGACGTTTATTCTTAYAGGAGAAGTACATACAACCATCTGAGTAGCTGGCTGACAGATGCTAGAAATCTAACCAACCCTAATACAGTATGTAATTTATTGTAGTTGACATTGCCATGGTAACATACAAGTCTTGTTGTTTTTGAATTTTTCTGTATGGTAAACAACTTTCGGGATCAGAAAGTGTACATCCTAGAAAAGTACCCTTTATAACATTACAAATTAAAAGCTTAYACTGTAATTGTTTATTTTTGTAGGTAATATTTCTAATTGGTAACAAATCAGATTTGGACGCACAGGTAACACTGCAGCAAGATTATATTAAATTGAAAAAAAGGGTAAAACTTTTCCCAGTGCAAAATCGAATTATTATTTTTGCATTTTTTCCCTAGAGAGATGTTACTTATGAGGAAGCAAAACAGTTTGCTGAAGAAAATGGTTTGTTTTATGGACCCAATATAATACATGACATTATAAATTCATTGCATTTACTTGAAATTATTTAATGAATTTAATATTGAATTAACTAGAAAATTTAATTACTTTTATTTATCTTATTAGGTCTGTTATTTTGTGAAGCTAGTGCAAAAACGTAAGTCAAATTTCCTTAAATTGATAAAATCCACATCTTGTTAGCTGGTTTATCTGCAAGTCAGTTTTACTGCATATTATTGGCTAACTTTGCCTTTAATATTTTTCACTATAGAGGTGAAAATGTTGAAGATGCTTTCTTAGAAACTGCAAAAAAGATTTACCAAAATATT